TTTTTTTTTTTTTTTTTTTTTTTTTTTTTTTTTTTTTTTTTTTTTTTTTTTTTTTTTTTTTTATTATTATAATATTCTACTCTTTTATATATAGCCCCTACTCTTTTATATATACTCTTTCTATATATATATATATATAATATATATATATATATATATATATATATATATATATATATATATATATATATATATATATATATATAAATGCATGCATGCACTGTATATGAGGAGCAACGCATGCATCTGTATTTATATATTTTATAATTCAGGTGTACATACACTGCATTGCATGCGCTGCATGCATAAAAAAATAAAGTGAACAGTTCAGGTGTATAGGCAGCTTACGGTGTTGCAGCAGATAATACACAGCTCCGCCTCCCGCTGCGGCGCCCTATCTGTTGCTGCATCAGGCTGTACAGGGACAACAGTTTCCGCTGCTGCTCCTCCTGCTTCTGCTGCTCCTCCNCTGTTGCTGCATCAGGCTGTACAGGGACAACAGTTTCCGCTGCTGCTCCTCCTGCTTCTGCTGCTCCTCCTGCTTCTGTTGCTTCTGCTGCTGCTGCTGCTGCTGCTGCTGCTGCAGCAGCAGCAGCTTCTATATCTTGTATGTTTTGTGTATTCTCTCCCTCCTGCTGCTCTACCCCTTCACTTATAAGCGGCCAGTTTCTCTGCTTGGGGGCCCCCTGCTGCAGCGGGGGGCCCCCCGGTGCAGCAGGGGGCCCCCCTATTCTATAGAAGTGTTCGCTGACCCTTTCTAGTGTAAGTTTCATATCACACATAAGGGGGGGCCCCACTGCTGCTGCTGCTGCTGCTGCTGCTGCTGCAGCAGCAGCAGAAGAAGAAGGAAGAGTGAAGGGGGCCCCCCCCCCATGGGTTGGGGGGCCCCCCTGCTCTATATCATCAGCAACAGAAAGGGTATGGTTCGCCATAAAACAAATAGAAACAAAAGCAGCAAACAATAAAAAAAGAAAGAATGAAGCAACACCAGCAGAAACAAATATAATAAAACGTGAATTGAGGTGTATAGACAGCCATTGAGTGAATGAAAAAATACACAAAAAAAAAACAACTGCATGCAGCTCAGATACATGCACAAGGACCCTGGTGATGGTGTTCTGCTGCAGCACAGTATCCCGCAGCAGCAGCAGCCCCAGCAGCAAGCAGCAGCAGAGATGAGCTGCAG